ATTTCTGTCAAATAAAAACATAATGATTCATCCTCATCCACCTTATTACCTGGATCTAGTACCCTGTAACTTCTGATTCTTCCATAAAGTCAAAAGGATCATAACAGGTAAATATTTTAAATCAGTTCAGGAGATCAAGGTAGTCATGACAACTAATGATGCTCATGAAAGAGTATAACTGTTTTAGAAAGTGAAGAGTGATGGGATAAGTGTGTTTGAAGTGAGAGGGAGTATTGTGAGGGAGATTAATGGCAATGTACCTTTTCCTATAATATATTTTAAAAAAAATTTAGACATTCACCTTATATTTTGATCATATCATATTTCGGATCCCACAAGCTTTTCCCATGAGAAGAGGTCAGTTTATCTTGTCTTCAAAATTGTGACAGAATAGGGGTTGTGTGTCTTCTGAGTTAGGGCATAAGATGACATGGCTTATGACAGGCTATCAGGTGGTATTCATCCTGGGAACATAGCCTCCATGTTAGAAAGAAGCTTAGGCTATATGAGGAGGCCATGCATAGATGTTGTCACTGGTAACACCAGCTACAGTCTCAGCCCTGGCATCATCAATTACCGGTAATGTGAATAAATGAAGTTCCAAATGAGTCCAGCTCCAGTCTGTGGGTCTTCCAGCTGAAAGATCAGTCATCAGAGAACAGAGACAAGTTGTTCCCACTCTACACCGAATTCCTGATGCAACAATTCAGGAACACAGCAAATGGTTGCTTCACACCATGTAGTTTGGACAATTTATGAAGCAGCTATAGTCACTGGGAAGGTTGTATGAATGTAGGGTGTGTGTGTGTGTGTGTGTGTGTGTGTGTGTGTGTAGAGGCACATGTGCACACACAAGTGTGCCCAAAGGCTCTACAACCTCCCAGATAGAGAAGTTAAGGTTCTCTAAGGAACAGAATCAATAGAAAACATATATATAATTATACAAGGGGATTTATTAGATAGGTTTACAGGATCAGAGGCAGGAGAGTCTACAATGGCCATATGTATGCTGGAGAGCTGGATGACTTAGTAGCTGCTCAGCCCAAGAAGATGTAAGCTCCAGAATAAGAGGGATCAAGGATGCAACACCAGTATAAGGTCAAAGGCCTGAAAGATCATCATAGAGCTGCTGGCGTGAATCTGCGTTGGAAGGCTGAAGAAACTGGAGACTGATGTCCAAAGGCAATGGTGAAGACTGAACTTCTTTCAAAAAGGGAATACTTCCTTCTTCTTTCGCCTTTTATCCAATCCAGGCTAACAAACCTACTGGTTGGTGTTATCCACATCTAGGGTTGGTCTTCCCCTCTCAGTCTGCTGGCCTACGTGTCAGTCATTCACAGATATACCCAGAACTGTGCTCTACTATCCTGCTAGATGTTTCTCAATCCATTCATGCTGATACTTCATGATTAATGGACAGAGCAGGGATGCTCCATACTGGCTTTCTTTGATTTCTTTCTTTACCCTAGTTTTGTACAGCTCTTAAGAAGGGACAGTCAGTGGTTGTTTCCTATACTATCCCAATGAGCCAAAGCCACGGGGAATCTTCATGGCAGGAAGTCAATAAAATGAAGAAAAGACTACAAACAATGTGAAACCTTGGAGGGAGAAAGCCTAGGGAATGACATCAGTCTTTCTTACTTAGAGTCCTGACGTGTCCTTGGTATAATGTCCAAGCCATCCACCCCCTGGGTCTCCCAGAACTGCTCTCTGGCTTCCCTTGGCTGCAGTGGGAGGCACTTCTTTCCTGTCTGTCTCCTTTCCTTCTGCCTAAGGAGGCCAGAATCCTGTAGAACCAGAGTTGGCAGTGTCTCAGCCATAATGAGCGAGTATTTTGATTGTCAGGAAGGATGAGGTAAAGAATAATAGATATAATTTCTATTTTTCCTCTGCTAGTTGCCCTCCCCATCTTTTCTTTCTCTCCACTTTTTTCTTCACTTCCCCCTGCTTTCTCTTTTCCTTTCTCTCCCACTTTCTTTCACCTTCCCATGTCCTTCCCCCTTGTCCCTATACCATCAACTTTCATCACTCCATTCTCTTTAGATTCTCTTTTTAAAAGCCAGTTACTTTAATTTTCACCTGAATGATGGTAAGCTGAGGAAGGAGGACATATGCTCCTGTTTTGTTATGATGGGATCATCTTTCACACTGATTAAGATGACTTAGGAGGGGAAAAGTGGAGAGTAAGGGGTTCGAGCTATTTTAGGAGATAGGCGGTTAGTTGCAAGGAGAAGGGGATGTAGAATTAGGTTGCTTAAAGATCAGGAGGAGGAATTTCCTGGCTAATGTTAGCATCACTGAAGAAGTAGAGAGAGAACAGGAGCCTCAGCCCTCTGAATCTCACCTCTCCATCAGACGCAGGAATTCTCTGGTGAGTCATCTGGAAGGGCCTGGCTCAATAAAAGCCGTGGGCACTATCACAGCCTTAAAAAACGTACTTCTTCAAGTTGTGCATTGGGAAACTCAGTCCAAATGGATTGCTGTTGTGTTAGCAGATCATCTGCTCAGGGCGGGTACCCCTCAAAGCACAGAAACACACACTTCAAACTTTCTTTGAATCATTTTCTGTATTCACATGGTGAATGGAACAAAGTTAGAATGTGAGCTCCCTGGCCTCTGTGGAACAGCTGATAAATAGCTATTTTCTGTGGAATGGCTACCCAGAGCCATCCTGTTGTAGCTGAATCTAGCTGGCTGATTAAATAGCTAGGAAATGTATCCAGTCTATTTTCAGCTCTGCTAATTTGCATACACATCCAGCTCTTCTCTTCAATGTGATCTGAGCTACAGGGTCAATATGTTTGGACTCTGGCTGCTCAACATCAATTTGCTTTGGAGCAGGTGAGTGTGGATTCTGGATCACGTGTCGCTAACAAACCAGCGCCCCGTCTCCTGTTCTGCCTGTTTAATGAGTGGATTTGGTTATTTGCAGGTTGTTCTGGGTCCCTTTCTTCTCCCTTCTTTTAGCCCCCTCCCAAACTGGGTGCTTCCTTGGCTGCCACTCTCTTGGTTCTTTGCGAACACAGAGCAGGCCAGAGCTGGAACGCCCACTCAGTCAGTAGGCCAAGCAGCTGGGCGGTGTCTGCTTACCTTGGCACCAGAGGAAAAGTGCAGCAGCTATCATCAGTCCTTCAAAGAATTACACTCAGATGCTGGAGGCCAGCTTTGAATGGAGACTTTAGATGTGGAGACAGCCAAGGGAAATGGACTAGGCATTTCTAGACTTGCTTAATTTTCTGTTCCCTTTTTAAGACCATGAGCCCTCAGCAGCTTAGAGAGCAGTACTGATTTGGCTGAGTGTGGCTGGTTGGCCTTCCTTAGCAGGCTGAGCTGGTGAGAGGCAAGCACTGGGCCGAAACTGACAAAAAGCAGGAAATTCAGAATCACATCCAAATGCTTTCTGCTTTGCTTTAGGATTCTTTAACCTGGCAAAGCTGACAGCAAATTTGCCAGGCTGAGTTAGGGGTACATTGTTCAGGGATAGGATTCGGGGAGAGGCCAGATGATGGGATGTCTTCTCCTTGTGAGGTGGCACAGGCAGGGTTGTGGCTCTTAGCTAGAAGCAGGGATGCTTTTTATGAGTTCTTTTCTGATTGGCTCTATGTCTTTCCCCCAGGGAACACCTATGGTCTTTGCTTACTTTCTAACAAGATCTCTGACCATAGAGCCATGGGTCTTGCCCCTGGCTGACAGTGCAGCCAAATATAAACAAACTAGGGTAGGGCCTGGTGTCAAACATTATGTTTACTAAACAAAACCGACAAGTTCTCGTTGTTTCGTGAGGAAGCCCTGCAGCTCTCAATTCCCCAGAGCTGAAGAGGATCCATTTTATTGAGCTTGGTAATGACAGTCCTGGCTTGAACAGCTGGGTAGTTTGTATTAGCTCTAAAAGACTCTGGAGGGCAGTTTTTCTTTAGAAAAATTATGTTTTTCATTTAGACCAACAACAGCCTGACTGTCTCAACATACTTTCCTATAATCTAAAAAGAGTGGGAAAATCATAGCCTATGCTGTTCTTCCAATATTAAGGTGGCTAGAGTTTGTAAATAAAAGTAGAAGACATCCAGTCAAACTTTAATTTTAGATGAATAATGAATACTTTTGGGTGTAAGTATACATTATGTAATATTTGGGACCTACTTATTTTTAAAAAGCATTTGTGGTTCATTTGAAATTCAAATTTAATGGGCAGGCTATATTTTATTTGGTACTACTTGATGCCTCTCCTAATGTCCCTGCTTGTTTACCTTTGGTGACAGGAAACTCATTACCTTTCATAACAATCATTCCATCATTAGACAGCTGCAGTTACTAGAAAACTCATCTACCCATTAAGATGACACTTCTTTGTGTGAATTTCTGGGACTCTTTGGAATATCTCTAATCCATTTGCCATATGGTGACTTTTCAAATGTTTATTAACAACTTTGTGTCTTCTTGGATTTTCTCTTTTTCATGCTGAATATCACCTACTCTTCCTATTTTTCCTGGTTTCAGAACTGAAGATACCTGTATGAATGTGTTCTGTTTATTTAAGTCCCTGTAATCAGGTAGGATTTGGCAGCCTGCACAAAGGATCTGATCAGTATGGCTTGCACATGTTGTTGAGAGTCTGTGCCAGGTAGCTCTGATCTTATTGGCCTGCCTGTGATACAGCCCTTTCCTGAAGAAGTCCTATTACCTGTCAGCTTGGAGCTTGGGACCCTTGGAGCAGTACACACTCTTAGATATACCAAGTGCAAAGTTGGCAGCTTCGTTCTTATTTTAGATGATAGTTGGAAGATAGGACAATTAGCATGTTAGATATTTGTGAAGCAGACTTCATAACAAGAATACATGTTTTTGTTTCAGGTCACATTGGAGTAATGGATAAAGGCATCAGGCTGAATTGATGTGCTACAAATTAACTACAGACCTATGGAAGAGTCACTTTATCATTTTTTAGTTTCTTTTTGATTAGTGTATATTTGTGATACATAATAATTGCATTCATCTTGTGGAAATGGTACATGCATATATTGTATCACTTTTCTTCTTTGACTCTCCACATCTTCATCTTCAAAATGAGAAATTTGAGTTAATTCCTAGGCAGCAGAATGTCTCAAAAAGACTTTTGGCTGTGGCTACTGATCCATGAAGTAGACTGGAATAAAGCAGGTAAAAAAGGATTTAAAAAACAACTACAATAATGAAAAGCAGTAGCTAGTCTAGATTTAAAGTAACTTTTAGGTCCTCAACTTTTCTGGGACAGGAAGCAGTTTTAGAGGATTAAACTAGGGCTACTCCTTGGTGCCTGGGTGTGAACTCTTTATTACTGATCCGTGACAAGGTAAATAGAAACTGAGAAGTGTTTAGAAGCACTTAAATCTACTTGACATTGGTGTGACATCCAAGTGTGTGATTAGTGGGTTGTCTCATTGAATAGGGTGTAGACTAGTCTGGGCATTGTTGAACTTGTAGGTAGTAAGTGACATATGATGTGAGTTGTATGTGAGTCACTTGCAGTGGGATCATGTCTTAGTTAGCAATGGATTAGAAATAAAAGAGGGGTGGGCAGGTTCATTAGGACATATAGGTAATGAGGCAGAGCTTTCTGACTAGTGTACCATGCACAAATTCCAGGTGTGCTTAGCTATTGTGCCTCTTGGTCCTCGTGGGGCCTGGGAGGGGCCTGGGGCAGCTTAGGGCATAGCCATTAGACCATGTAACCAATATGCTATGCAAATATCATTTCCTGTGTGAGCTATGATGTGAACATGGTTGGAAACTGGTGTCTTTTTTTCCCCCCCATAAAACCAAATAGATATGGAGAGAGGATTGGGCTGAGAATTGTGGCTTAGGATGTAGATTCCAAATGAACTGACCTAACTCAGTGGTGTAGATTTTAATTCTGTCCCCAAGGAGAAATGTAAAAGGTCTGCTTCCTCTCATTTCTACCTTTCTTCTAAAATTAAATGTATACTTCGCATGGAAATAGACATATGCTTTCAAGTAGGGTTGGAATAAAATGTAGAAAACAAGACTCACTCTCACCTTCTCTCTTTAAGTCCTGTCTAAGTTCCCCACAAGTAGCCATATTCAAGTTAGGAGTTCAATATTTGTAGAGAGAGGAGACAGGGGTGGGGGGGGGAGGGAGGGAGAGAGAGAAAGGGGCAGGCCCAGGAGGCCCCATGCTGGGAGAAGCCAGGTGCCTCAGGCACTGTGGGGAAGCGATGTGAAAGTCTGGGTACCAAGCACTTGGCCCATGGACCAACTGGTGGCCTCTAATGAAAGGTCAGATCTCTTCTGATTATCCTACCATGACCTCCAGCTGGCCCCAAGCCCTGCCCTCCCACACAGATCACCTAATCAGCTTCCTTTGTCTCACTCTCAGAGATGAATGTACAGCAAGGATCATGAGACCTTTCAGAGTTCTTTAATATGAAAGATAGATGCTGTAGTAGATTGATCTCATTAATCATGTTAATTAATGTCCTCTCTGTTGCTGTAGCTTTGCAGACTCCTCCCACTCTGATTCTGGGCTTTTCCATGTGACTTGTATTGGTCATGAGATAATTTCTAAACTTGATATAAGTAGAGGCTTGAAAAAGTACTTGTGTATTTCCTCCTTTTCTCTTGGACCTCTGCCACCCACATGAGAGCTTGCTGAAGAAATGAGAGAGGCCCAAGGGGGAGAGCCTAGACCTCCCAACAGAGGACATTCTTGAACAGCCAAACTCTAGTAGTCTCACCAGCTGAGCACAAGTGCATGAGTGAACAAAGCTAAGGTCAGCCAACCCTGACTCGGCTGACTCACAGACAAATGCTGCCCTCTCTGAGAAAAGCAAAATGAGATGACATCAAATCTGTAACACATCAGTGTGGCTAAATACATCCTTTGTCTTATGAACCACCAAGTTCTATTCCTCTTTTGCTTGGGGTCTTAGCACACCTGTTTGGGCTTGAAATCCAATTGTCTGCCAAGATGATACTTTGAGACATGGCCCAGTGAGAACTGGAAGCCATGGGCAGAAGTTGAGAAAAGCAGAGCTCCAAGACAGGCCTTTCAGGACACAGGCTTCATCCTCTGGTTTCTAGTTCTGCTTTATGGCCATCTCATTTTGCCTATAGTGCAGCAGCTACTTCTGCCCTGGGTTAGTGAAAAGTCCCAGAAATTAGTTAGCTGGATGCTAAACTCAAGTGTCTGCCCAAGAAAGTCATTGTGCTTGCTGATAAGCTGGAGGCAGAGAAAACTGGGAAGTGGATAAAAATTATCTGCTTTAATGCCTCCCTACTCCTCCATTATAGATTCTCCCTTCTCTATGCTCAAGGCACATATAGCTCTGTCTTTCACCAGTCTCATTTCAGGAAAGAATCTGCTTGCATTCAGAAAACTAAATGTTGCCTGTCTTGGTGTTTCTTACAACTCAAGTATTATTTCCATTTGGGATGAGAAGTCTTTCCACCAATTAGAAACATTTTTTTTTTCTATAGGGGGAAATCCTTTTGAGAGGGATGGGTTTGTGTTTTCATTGATCTTGAAATAGGAATCTATGGTTAGAGTCCTATAGTTGGAGCCCAGGAATGGCAATTTTCTTCGGCCAAAAATATTCTAGAGATGGCTGTTAGAGATCTAGGGGAGAAAATAAATAAGAAAATGATTTTCCAAATGTGTGTCATGTCTTGTAATTTGGACTCTCTCTTTGAAGATATTCAAATAGCACACAGCTAGGTACTGCTGTCTGAATAATATTCCTTGAGATGGCATTTGAGGATCAAATAAGGTTCAGAGAAAGAATTCCAGCTTCCCAAGGGATGTCTTCCTTTCTTTGATGCTAAAATAGAATTTAAGGTTCGGGGAAGATGAAGTCTAAGAAATCAGTATTTACTGCTCTATGCTTTAAACCTAAAGCAAAGGGATAGCAGAGGTAATTGTCTGAATAATTGGGCACAATAACCACTTAACTTCAATGGATCTCAATGTTTGGAGTTATCCAAATAGAACAGTACACAGAATCTGCTTGACACCTTTTACTTTCCAGGGAAGGTAAGCTGCCTTTCTTTCGGAGAGATTGATGGTCCCTGACTTATGATGGTTGACTCAGAATTATTTGACATTACAATGGTACAAAAGAATACGCATTCAGTAGAAACTATTCTTATAATTTTGATCTTCTCCTGGGCTAGTAAAATGCTATGATACTCTCACAATGCTGGGGCAGCAGCAGTGAGCTGCAGCTCTCAGAGATCACGAGGGCAAACAACACAGTGTAATGTGTTGTTAAGCCAGGATATACAGTAGTTAGATGATTAATGCATCCTCAACTTGTGATATTTTCAACTTCTAATGGGATTTTTTGGGATGTAAGCCCATGGTAAGGAGATAACCATGTGTATCAGCATTCGTAGTCATCCCAGTTGTCCTCTATGGGAGTGGCATAACGAAGAAACCCCAAGCATGTAACAACCGTGAATGTTTATTAGGGTATTGCATGTTTTAGGCATGATGAATTTTAAATAGATCTCATTTAGGTGTTATTTCAACAACCCTATCACCATACTTACTCAGCAGATGTTGGCCATGAGGCCCACAGATTTTTAAGGAACTTGGATTGCTGATTTGTCACAGAGCTGGGTTGAGCCTAGTCTGTTTTATTCCAGATTCTATGCTTTCAATTATGAAAACCTCTAGGTGGGATTGTACTATAAAGATTTTTAAACCCAGAGAAATTGTGACCACATCAAGTTCCTTAGTGGAACAAGTGGAATAATGAAAAGCACCATTACCTAGCTGTATGATTTAAGGCCTCAGATTCCTTAGCAGTAAAGATATTCACCTGAATAATTTGTGTGGTTCATTTCAGGTCTCACTATCTATGGCTTTTAAAGTGAGCTGGGTCTGTGATTCCCCAGGACTCATTTCCTGACCTCTCACTGGAGCTGAGTCTGGCCCTGTTTGAATCCTGATGTTCTCCCAAGAGGGATGCACTAGTAGGATACCCCAAGTTTCCCAGTGGAAACAAACAGCCCTCACATTTCAGTGCCCCCAACAACACAGGGTTACCCTTGTGTTTATACGGCCACTTCAGGTTTATTTCTTTCTTTCAAGGGGGAGCACACTCAGTAGTCCCCCAGAACCCAGGCTGGAAGACATATCTAATATCTTGGATCACTATGCCAGATGGGGAAAAAAGTTCTGAAATTAAATACTTTGACCCAGAAAATGATAAATGTGACAGCCTTTCCTAACTCATTATCCTGAACTAGTCCCATGGGCCCATCAGTGACAGGGACCAGGAAATATAGACCTACCATGTACTAAAAAGGTGGAAAACATGGGAATTTTTGGAGAATAGTATTAATGACCACCAAAACCATGAATGTCACAATGTCCCTTTAGGATCCTATGTTCACAAATCCTATGTAAGGCAGGAATACTTGTTACACAGTGCCAGAGTAATAAGGAAAGGCAAGAGAGAGCTTCCATTTCAATAAGATAATGGAGACTGGGTTCAGAGGAGGGCATGAGGGTAAGGAGAGGTCACTTACAGCCAGATTTTCTCTAGGGTTCATCTTGATCGCATTCATTTCTTTACTCTTTCTTGTAACCCATTAATTAAGGTAGCTAAAAATGTTACCATGAACTAAAGTCAACATCAATTAAAAATCCCATATATATTTCATGTGAAAACACATGGTCTTCAAACATGTGTGATTTTCATCGGACCTCCTCATCTGTTTGTCATTTAAAGTTCAGGCCATTTTCCATATTTCTATCAAATGCTGCCTGCTGTAGATGAAAGTCTGGCAAATAACTGTGCAAAAGAAATTTTCTGAAGTTATAAATAATCAAATGCCTGTGGGCAGGGGAGGTCGACCTCATATACAATAATACAAAGGTAATGATCAGAGTTCAAAGGGAAAATGGAACTAAAGGATTGCCTTCTTAGTAGGGAGAAGGTTGCTGCTTTGCTTATAGTGACATGAGTATCATTTCCCTGACCCCTTCACCCACTGGCAGGAATGGGACAGGTGGAAATATGAAGAAAGTTGGGAAAGTACGTGTTGGTAAGTATTTCATAATTAACTTTCTGGAGGGAAGAGCCCTAATTCATAGTGTTTACCCATTTCTCTGGTATAAATACTGGTTGCAAGGTACCAATCAGATATTGTTGAACAGGGATTTCGGGAGAAATGTGTACAGTTGGCTCTTGCAAGCCAGTCACTCCTGGCTCCTTCACATGATCTAGTAGGGAAATTGCCTGTTTGGAGCTTAAGTGGCAAGAACTATTTGGAGGAAGACAATGGTAAGAGGCAGACATTAGAGACCAGTGGTGAGGAATACTGGTGATTTACATATTAATTTCCTAGGGCTGTGGGAACAAGTTACCACAAAATGGGAGGCTTAAAACAATATAAATTTATTCTCTTGCAGTTATAGAATATAGAAGTGTGAACTCAAGGAGTTAGCAGAGTTGATTTCTCCTCCTAGAGTCTTTACAGGAGAAACCAACCCATGTCTTTCTCTGACTTCTGTGATTTCTAGAAACCTTAGGCATTTGTAGCTTGAAAATAGATCACATCAAGCTCTTGAAAACACAATGCCTTCACAGCACCCTCTTCTTGGGGTAACTCTCTGTGTTTTCTCCCCTTCTTATAAGAACATCAATCATTGGATTTAGGGTCTGAGTTGATTTCATTCTGAGATCCTTAATTATAACTACAAAGACCTTTTTTTCCAAGTAAGTTCACATTTGGAAATGTGGGTTTTGGTTGGACATGCATTTTAGTATGTTATCCAATATTTAACTCATTATACAAATAAAAAAGAAGAAGCATGAGAAAGAAAGGTAAGCTGGCCTAGCATTGGCCACCTGACTCTGAGAAGTCCCCAATGACTTGCCTGGACATCCTTCAGACTGTGACCTGTTTCTTGATTTATGATCACAGGCCCACAGGGGCAGTGATCTGTGATGGGTGTGTTGCATTTCCACTTAGTCATGCTGTTCATCTCCAAACCTAGACGGGTGAGGAGAGGAGTGACCCTGGCCTAGTTTCTTTTAAAGCTGTGTTTGGGCAGTTGTCTCCTTATATCATTTCCAAGCCCTTTGAAGATAGTTTGGGTAAAAATAGATAGAAACCCTTAGAGAGTTTTGATCTTTAATTAGTTTCATATGTCCTACCTAGTGGACTAGGCTCTTACTAAGTGGTGGAAGAATGAGTAAAGGGACAAACCAAGGGCCAGTTTGGTTGATTAGAATAGGCCTTCCCTGGAAGAAAACATACACGCTCTCAAGTTCAAAAGTACTTTTCCAGTCTGAAAGACATATTCTGGCCCATTAGGTCAGTGCAAGACAGTGACTGAGGATCAAGTGTCAGTGGCCCCAGGGGCCTTTAAGGGAGACCTTCTTTGGTCCTGTAATAGGAGCTGCTGCCAGTGAAACCTTGTGCAGCTCCTCCCAGGCCCTGATGAGAAAGCCAGCTTGGCTGGGCCTCAGGGGGCAGGCAGAGGTCATGGAGATGCCTGTGGCAACTTTAAACCACATCTTGTAGATCCCTTCAGTTCTGTGCATGAAACTGTTTCCTCAGCCTGGAATGCAAAGGAAGGGGTTGGAAGGGTCAGGTTTCCAGGAAGAATCTGGCTTCTGTGTTTATGTGATTTAGGTGAGCCCATGCTTAGGGAAGCGCCACGTTTTGGGGGACCTGTGACACTGATGAGCTTCTCAGGTCTCAGCCCCCAGTTCCTGCTTTCCACCAACTGTATTTGAGAGTAATTTGGTTTATGGGCCATGGGTTAGGGAGTCCATAATGGGCCCCTTTCTCACAGGCACTTTCTTCTCTACTGCAGCTCCTCCTCCACTCTCCAAATGTTGCCTCTCTCTCTCCTGGGTTTCAGGTATGTGACTGTTTGGCTGGCCCAGTCCTGTGATCATAGGAAACAATGACACATAAAGCACACCTCCATTTAGAGATAAGCACTGATGCATGCCCTGCAGCTGAGATTAAAATCTGTCCCATAAATCTTTCCACAATGCTGTATATTCCACACATAATGATGAGGAGTGAGGAGGTAAATAAATGTCTGAGGAAAAAAATTCCTCACAAAATACCCTATGATTAAGAGTTTTGTTCTCCTATTGCTAGAAATGACATGAAGGTGTACAATGGGTCACTGATGTTAGTGACTCCTCTTGGCACTGCATTGTGGTTCAATTTTATTCATCACACACATTTTAAGACAACTGGAAATATTCTTAAGTTTAATTAAGAGTTCATAGATATAATTGATAAGAGAATTTGAAAACATGTTAATCTGAGATCTAGTTATAAAAAATTGTGTGTGTAGTCATGTGTTTTAGGGTTTAGTGGTGCTATTGTATGAAGGGCTATGACAAACTTTTGGATATATTGTGGAATATTATAGGACTCTAAGATTCAAAATAAATCATAATGGAATGAATCAACCATCTCCATTTTTAAATGACTCCATTGCAATGAGAGGTTATCTGGAAAAGGATTTAAGGATTCACTCCTACCCCTAGATCTATTAGTAAGCCAGTATAATCTGTTGATCTGAATCTTGGTGCCACCTTTTACTTTATTTGAAGTAATAAGGAGTGTAGGTAAGCGTGTATATCTGTTACACGTGCATGACTGTGTATGACTGTGTGGGTAGTGAGAGAGCTGGCTACTAGGCTTAGGGATGCAGAGGAGAACTAAATGCCTCAAGAATACATTCTGGGATAACAAATCAACCCTTTCTGTTCTCAATAAACCCTAGTTGAAAGTGAATTTGTAGTTGGAGGGCTGCTGCATTTGGAGAATTTTTAGATTATTGCATTGGTTCCAAATGTAATGAGGGTGCCCCCTTTTACCATGATGACTACACCATGACTCTGTAATTTTAGGGGAGGAGGAAGACATGCTGGAGTGAAAGAAGAAATCTGTCTCTTGGGACTCAGAAGGGGAGTAGGGACATGCAGAGAAGGAAAGGAGCTAATGTGTCTTTGTTTCTCTCATCTTCTTGTGTCTTCATCCAGTGTTACCTGGTAAACATTAAGGAGAGGAAGCAAATTGGGCTAACAGGCTAGTGGTGTGCTCTCTTGAGTATATGTGGCTTTTATAATGGTTGGGGAGGAGTAGTGGAAAGGAGGCTGAGGAACAAAAGAAGGACAGATTGAAAAGCTAGAGACCATGACTTTGGATCCAAAGGCTCACTGAGTCTTGCAAAAACCGAGAAGATCCCTCGGTGTGGGGATGGAAAAGGGCTGAGAGAGTCTATCACCTTCCCAGTGGTCAGAGTGAAGAGGCTGCAGCGGGCAGGGTCTTGGAGATGGAAGCAAGGGACAGGGTCTACACACTCTAGTAATGACTACAGCATGTTGCCCTTAAATGACTGTACCTTTTCACCACCCTCCAAAAGCACAGCATTAGTCATACGTTGATCAGCTTTCCATTATTATAACAAATGTTGCAGATAATCAACTTCATAAGGGACAAAAGCTAATTTAGGTTCATGATTTCGAGATTTTGGTCCACAGTCACTTGGCCCTATTTCTTTAGGACTATAGTGGGCTATGGTACATATGGTAGCCTATTCAGCTCATGATGGCCAGTATACAAAGAGAGAAAAGAAAGAAGGGACTGGCATTCAACTGTCCCTTTCAAGAATGTGCTTCCAGTAACCTAACTTCCTTTCACAAAGCCCCATCACCTCCCAATATTGCCACAGGCCAAGGACCAACCCTGTAAAGCAGAGGCCTCTGGGGTCACTTATTCATACCATAAGAGTCATTACCACCTTCACTATCACTATTGTAGGGAGCAGATCTGTTCCAGGCAATATGCAACTGAGACTAGGGTGTATCCAGAGAGACTTCTCTCCCGTTGGCAAGAAAATGAATTAATACCTTTATATTTCAGGACAGCAAATTTTTTTTTTGTACCAGGGATCAAACTGGGGACCTTGTGCTTGCAAGGTAGGAGGCAGAACCACTGAGTTAAATCCCTGGACCCTGGACAACATTTTAAGGAAGCAAAGGAAGTTAAATCCAAGAGGCTAAACCTCATCCAAATATATAAACTCATTTTAAAAGGAACAACTTTTGGTGGGGAATTTGATTTTGAAAAGACAGGGAACATTTTTGATGGGACAGGACTAAACTATTATTATTTTACAAGTCTAAGTTTTCCCAGCTGCCCAGCTAGGAAGGAAAGAGCAAAGCCTTTTGAGGGAATGAAGAAAATTTATTTTTCCTACACAATCAGCTGTGGCATGAGTAACAGGAAAACCATGATGGTACATATGGATAAAAATAAAGTCAGGAAATTTCAAATAATTTCAACTTAAGTAAACAACCTTAACACAGTTATGAAGGTTTTCGAAACTTTTCAGTTGTCTCTTAAATATTTTATAAAAATACCCTGGGAACAAGAAGATTTGTGCTGCCTGGATGATCTCTAGCAAGGAGAGAATTAAAGACCCACAGCCCAAGTGTCCCCTCAGAACCCAGAAGGTCATGTAGATTTAGGGACTTCAGCTCTCTCTGGGGACATGGACACACAAATACTGCCAAGGAAAAGGCAGTACTTAGACAGAATAACTTAGTCTTCAGGGACCATTTCCCATTGAAAGGGTTCAAAGTACTTGGAATTCCAAGTTTCTGTAGACAGTGAAATTTCTTTTTTGAGGGATGGTTTGTGCATAAGGGAGAGGTAGATACTCATGTGATAGGGGCAGTTCTGGTGCAGATTGTTCTGGACACAGGGGAATGGCCTAGGTGACCTTCCAAGCGTCTTGTACCTAATCTGTGATTCTGTAAGTAATGAGTTGACAGAAAATTGCATTCTGTATTTGGTCAGCCATCTGCTGTTTCCCCAACACCGGCTGATAAAGGCATGGTTATGTGGGGAGAAGGTGAGCTGTAATTAATTATCTATGGCATTGATGAATTTCTTGTAGGATATTCCCCTGCTAATCCAGCAATATAGCTGCATCCATCCCCCCTCCCAGTGTTAACGGTCTATTTATGGACTCTGCTCCATAATTAAATGTTTCATTTGCAAGAAAATGGTTCCTAGGAAAATCCAAGCTCTCTTTATGTGCCTGCAATCGGCTGTTACAGCCATTACAGAAGAGATCTGTCCATGTTGCTTGCTGCTCTTCACTTTTGGATAATCTAATGTATTATGTTTCTGGTGTATGTAAATTACTAAATGCAATATCCTTCAATATGCCTGCTAACTGAAGCCAAATGTATTGTGGGCATAATTTTAATTATTTATATGCTATAAAAATGGAAGAAACCAGAATTACAGAAACAAGGTTCTAAAAAACCCCTCTGGTTTTCTTTTGGGCAACAGTTTAATCAGATTAAAACTGTAATTGTTTTTCAGCTCTTGACTCACACTTGTTTTGGTCCTCTCTTTTGTTAGCATGTGGCTATTCCCCATGAAGGTATTTAATGTCCGTCCAGAGTGTTTACTTTATAAGAAAACAGCATCTATTAGATGGATGGGTTCAAGGTAGGGACACCATTGGGAAAGCTCTAGTCTCCCTTCTGAGCTTTGCTTTTTGTTCTTTTTTTTTGGGTACTGGGGTTCGAACTCGGGTCTTTGCTCTTGTGTAGCAGGCGACGGAACCACTGAGCTAAATCCCCGGCCCTGCTTTTTGTTCTTAAAGTCGGTCCCTGACAGCTTCTGACCTTTTTTATTTTTCTGAGGCAAGAAGGTAGGAGGCAGGTAGTAAAGATGTGAGGCAAAACTGACAAGGAGCAAAGGTGAAAGGGGTGTCTGTACACATCTCTAGGTGTAGCAACATGATAAGAAAATACAAACCAGCTACTTTTGTTAACTAGCTAGAGATCTGCAGGCCAGACTCAGTTCAAGATAGAGATAAAATGAAATTTGGGTATCTATTTATTCAAGCTCTTTGGTCTCTCATGGAAATGTGTTTATCTGATGATTTTATTATATTGTGACATAATGTAAGGCATGGAGTTCAGAATCAAAGCACTGGTTTTAAGTCCTGCTGTAATATTTTAGGTGGGTCATCTTGGGCAAGACATTTATATTAATCCTCGGTTTTCTCATCCATAAAGCAGGGTGCATACTAATGCTGCTTGATTAAGATGTCATGGAGATTGAATGAAATGGTGCATAGGAATGGATTTATAAGTGCTAAAGAATGGCATAAGTGGATGTTTTTGTTATCATTACAGCTTTTTCTTGCCCCATAAACTGCAATGACTAGCAAGTCATGGGTTTATTTTTTGGGGGCTGATGGGGAGGAAAAAAATATTTTCTGAGTTAATCCAGTTGCCTTAGGAGAGTAACAGAATTCCTCAGGATAGGAAAATTGCTCTTTTCTTTGGAAATGTACAGTAAAGGGATATTTGGCTTCCATAAGGCAGGTCTCCTGGGCCGGTCTAGATCAGTGCCTCTCAACGGTCCGTGGTGAAGAAGCGGCTTTAAAATTCCAATCCTTCCTGGACTGGTGCTTTTGTAACATATGATAAAATATATCATTAAAAACATGAAATAAAAAGGCATACAAAGCACACGTCCCATTTTTATTTTGCTACTAGATTCAGCAGACATAAAATTACTGTCAAGTTGCTATAAAACCTTAACATCTGTATTTATCTCATCACGCACTGGGAACCAAAGTTTATAGACTGGCACCCCTCAGTGCCTCCCATTTTAGGAAACATTGTAGGCGGGGGAGTTTTTTTTTTTTTTTAGAGAAAGTTAACCTGATTTCCATAACACAATGACAGGCATTCTGAGTTTTTGGCAGATGAGCTTGTAAATGGATGCAAAACTCAGAGAAGGGCTAACTATGAATGGTCTGAGAAAGGGCCCAGGAAAAATGACAGCTGGTCAAATCATAAAGAGAAGAACAGTAGTAAGAAATTTTGTGTG